AGTCGCACTTGCGACCACTCGGGCAATGAGGCAGTGCCATTATGTGTGAACTTTAACGTTTTTGAATTGAAATTGAATGAAAGAAGCTTATTGTTGAATAAAATGCGACTTATCTTAAGTAACAAAGTCTATCGACAGATAACTTGTTGATTGATACTAGATATATATTATGTAGAAGCAGAAAGAAATTTCATGTAATAAATGGAAATACAACCGAATCTAGTAAAGTTAAAAGTAAAAGATTCAGAGCAGATCCCAAAAACAAATTGGGAAAAGGTTTTTTTGCCAAATTCAATTAATTGGCTCAGATTAGGTTTGGAATAGAATAGAATCATTTATTTGCACTGAATGTAGGTACCTACATGTACATAACATAATGTCTTACAAAGATTTATCGTTCCTTGTACGTTCTACCATCTGGCATGCAAACATTTTTAAATCCTTAAAGCTATAAACATTATTTATTATAGTAAGATGTAATAATAATATTGAAAAGAGAATGTTACGCTGATTTGACCATGTAGAAAGGATGGATGAAACTGATGAAAGTAGAGTAACGAAAGAAGTATATAAAGTGGATATGAATGGGGCCATCGATAGAGGGCGCCCTAGACGGATTGGCGATAAATTAAAGAAGGGCCAAATAAAAAGTACCCTTAACCAACGAGCATGCATGTAACTACATGCATCTAACATACATTACATAATGTTTTGTATGTTATGCAGTATTATATTAAGGAAAATGCATTCGGGCCGCTCCCAATAAGACGATCTAGACTTCATTGGGATGGGAAGACCTATGTTAATAATGGTCGCCTTGTGGTTGACACGATGATGAAGGAAAATAACTGATTCAACTAAAAATTACGAGTTACTCATGTGAATATACTGAGAAAAGCTCTACTACTTTCTAGCTATAGAGGAACTCTTCCTCAAGAGCAGCGTACGCGGTCGCGGCGTTGTCGCGCAGTCTACAGGTAGGATCGAAACTAGTAGAGCTTTTCTCAGTATATTTGCATGAGTACCTCATATTTTTTATTTAATTATTATAAACACAATGACAAATTCGTAAGAGATTACGAAAATAATAGTACCAACATAATAATCAGTTATCGCATTTTATTAATACTGGCTAAAACGCATTGTAATCATTTAACAACCTAATTAAACATTTGTGTGGAACTGATAAATGAATATGGAAGTTAGTTTACCGTGCAGGAAGAATTTAAGAGGAAACTGTGATATAGAACGAAATCAGTCGGTCACGTGACTGCCAGCCACTAATTAACTAATAGAATCATTAATAATAATAATATTTAAACAAGTGCGCCACACGGTGATAATCGATGTCACCATTCCCCACGAGAACCTCGTAAAAGCTGAGAAAGATAAACAAATAAAATATCTAGAGTTACCTCACGAGGTTGTCAACATGTGGAGTGTGGATTCGGCTATCATTGTGCCGATAGTAGTGTTGGCCAATGGGTTAATCCCTAAAAGCCTCGACATCCATCTCAGGAGGCTGGTGTTAGGTGGATGGATCAAGGACCTGATACAGAATGCAGTTCTCCTAGAAACTCCTAGTATTTAAAAATGTAACTTTTAGATAAATATATAGAAATAATACTTATAATATTCCATTGCGCCAAAATTAACAAAGTATAGATCAAAAAATTTGAAGAAAATATGTAATTTTTGCATTTCTTTAATTCATGCATTTCGTATATCTTTGACTATAAAAGAATGTCCGACAAAGCACCTGCGACTCCTCAGGTGTTGGGGTGTCCATGGGCGGCGCTGATCGTTTACCATCAGATGATCCGTCTGCTCGTTTGGCTCCTACTCCATAAAAAAACCACAGATCGTATAAAATCTGCTAGTTGTAGATCTGGATCTAGACGGTTAGGAATTCAACTCTTATATTTATACTTGATAGGTCGACGTTTGGCCACTATCTCTTTCTGGTTCAAGAATAAAAGACAGTAGTTCCATTATGTTCATCAGTTTGTAATCCAGTATATCTATACATATTTCTCAGTGGCTGAGAAGAGAGTAGTGGCCTTTTTACACAGAGAAAGAAAGAACATTAATTACTACACTTACTCAAGGTAGTTTAGCGAATTCAATCTTATATTTTGCAATTGTTAGTCCACGTTAGTTTTCTCTGTCTGACTTCAATAATTACAAAACACTGTTCAAAACTATTACCATACCATAACTAAAATCAAATATTTTATTATGTAATATTTACTCATGCAGGTAACTTAGGTTTCAACAAAACTACCCTAATTAAGAAGTGGCTTTTAGAATAGATTAGAATGAGGAACTGCCTCGCTGGCCGAGTGGTTGCAAGTGCGACTGCCGGGCAAGGGGTACTGACTGCCGTAATGTGCACCTCTGTCTACCAATCGGCGATAGAAGGCGTGATGTTATGTTATGTTAATGTTATGTAGAATGAAGAAGAATCTTATAAACTGCTACCTATTTCTATACCTACTAGTCTAATATCTATCTTACGCTACTTACTTATAGGGCGAGGTGTCACACACACTACAATACCTAGATAGATTTATATTTAAAAACTTATTAGTGCATTTACATCACAAATGTATAATTTAATTTAGACGGAGATTCCTAATGTCGTAATGTCGTCGTTTTTGCTATTACTTTTTTTTATTGGTTTTACATCAAATCAAAGTCTTCTTGAATCAATAAAGTAACCCTAGCCATGTAGTGAAAATAAATAGTAGAGTTATTATTTTTAAGTGAGACTGGAAGGCCATATTTTGACACAAAGGGGCCTTTACTGGAGTGATACTATGTTTTGTTATGTGAGTACAGCCACCCGAGGCCCAAGACTCTCCACCCATCTCTAAACCTCCCTAATCTTCAAACCTCAAATTCTCAATCTCCAAATCCCCAACCCCTAAAAGGCCAGCAACACAATTGTAAGACCTCCAGTGTGGTGGGTGCCTGATGATAAGCGGCGCTGGTTGCTTACTATCAGGTGATACTGCTCGTTTGCTGTCTTACTGCCATGAAGATGGCATTTTTCACCTTGCTCACATAACCATAATTGGGTAATTAATAATTATTCTGATAATAACTGAACAAGTGCTTTTATCGCTCGAACTATGACTCATATGTTTTGAGATTACAAGAAAAAAGTCACACGTTTGTAGGACACTTGGTGATTAATTGTTCTATTTGCTGTGGATTTTCCTGACTTCGATTATGTTAATATTGATTATGTATTTATCTATACAGCTTTTAGTTTTTACGTTGGTTTCTAAAATTAGAATAAAGTCCACGTATCTACGTAAGACGAAGGACAATGCTTTGGTCCAAGTTCCCATAAGGCCGCGCGCACACTATCCAAGTCAGTGCAACAAGTGCGCCGTATCCCGACGCGCGATACGGCGGCGGCTACACGAGCACGAGGCGGCGGCGCGGCGCGGTTTACGATTTTTCCGGCCGCGAACTCCGTCTTCGCGACAGTAGGCGGGGCCGCCACGCCCAGCCGCGCACACGCCCACCGCACTATCTCAAGACCAAAACACACTGAAAAATATACACCCACACATGAAACATGAAACTCATCAAAACGCAGTGAACCAACAAATTAAGCCAATATGTTAATGAGTATATAGTTTATTAGTACAAACGTGTCAAGTTACATACAATTTGGCAGCCATCAAACCTCATTAGTTCCATTAATTCGGAGCGGTAACCTTCTAATGTGATTGTTGCCAAGTAATCTAATTTCACATTTGTAAACGTTATTCCGATTGCATGACGCTTTATGGATATATATTTTTAATATAAATTTAAAAAAATAGGATGTAATTTATTCTTATAGACATCTCTCTCCGTTGTAACCACAGCTAGCGGATCGAAAGAGGGAGATACGCAACCACGCTTTAAAATGAAAAAGCTCATAATATTTCCCTTTCAACAATGGAACTAAACAAAAATGGTTAATGGTACAAAACTTGCGCCGGTCTCACTCGCACATAACAAACAAGTTATTAGTGCGAGAGGGAGAACAGCGCACATTTTCCCGACAAATGAAGCGTGGCTAAACCGCAGATTGACCGCAGAGAATGGAGGCAGCGAGTGACAGAATGGCGGCGGTTCAGTAGTAGAGAGTCGCGCGGGCAGCGAACACGCGCCAGCCTCCGCGAGCGGCTGACTCACGCACCACGCGACGATACCTGACCCGCGTCAGACGTGGCTCACAACTTTACAAAAAACCGAGCGCTCCGCAACCGGCCCAGGCGGCTCATTAACATATATTCATATATATATCAACTCTCAGCTGATGTTGACACAACACGGAGTGCGATTGTGAGTTACAGGTGTTCTTAGAACTTTGCCGGATCCGTTCATGTATCGAATAGTTCCTATTGGACCCCGGACTAGTGTTGTGACTCATCTAAAATGACGAAAGTTAAATTCAAGAAATCCCTCGGTTTATAGAATGAGCATCACTGGATTAAGGAAATAAAACACAATTACGTTACAACTGTAGTGCGACATACACGGACAATTAGTGAGTGAAACATCGGACACATTTGTTTACAATAAAAGTTTTATATTAGTGGTAATATATAGACCCTAAACGCTACGAAGAGACTGACAAAGTATTAGGATCCAAAGATTTTCTAATCATAGTAAATTATCGGGTAGACGCTAACAAACTAGTACTCACTCACGACTCACGTGCGAGTGTGTTCATACGGTTGGGCGAAGTACTTGAGTACTGTATTGTTGTTGTGTCCAAGGTGTAAAATAAAACTTTGGCAGCCTGCCAGAGCTCAGTCAAGCGAAGGTCGTGAAGAGTGCGGAAGTGTTGGAATTCGAGTGTTCAAACGAGCCCTTACTTGCCAAAATTAGAATTTTATTACATCGTTGTGTTTGGTGTCGATTGCTGCGTCAGTGGGACAGTTCAGGGACGCCGACCGTGGCGGTGCGGCAAGTGAAGTGTGATGGTGTGAAGGATGCATTTGCCGTACGAGTCCCGAGGCCGTCGGCGGCGTGAGATGGCTGAGCTGGAACCTTGGTGGCTGCAGTCCATCGTCGATGAGACTCTTGCCGAGTATCCTGATCTAGGTAATGTACTACAACATCTACGTATGACATATACTTTACATTCACTATTAATTTAGTAAACGGTTTTTCCAGTAAATATCACCAAAACTCACTTTATCTATTTCTTTTCTAATAACGACCTTAATAACTTGACAGGTTAATATTTATAGCAAAGCCTACGTATATGAATAAGTCGTTGAAGAAGCTAAGCTCCATCCGGTCGGTGCTAAGGTCAAAAGTTGTTTATCTTGAATATTTGTTACGGTTACTGAGAAACCATTATCTGCCTATATTTGGAAACATGATTTCTTCAAAAATAATGTATTTTTTTTATACTTTTACTGAATTTCGTTTTCAGAGATATTATTCATTTTTAATTATTAAAGTGAAATAATATGACTTCTTATAATATGTCAAGTGATATAGTATTATTAAGAACCGAAAATATATACTGTCTTTGACGATTATTTCGTGCTCAAGTAAAAGACATCAACGCGGATGTTAGAGAAAGTTCGAACATAAAATAATTTAATTTAATCTACAATATCAATAACATATAAATCGGCACATTATTAATTCTATACTATAAATTATAATTTGCAATAGCGTTAGATTATTCGAATTAGAAATAACATAATTATTTATTTTTACTATTATCGTTACGCAAAACTGTATTGGAATTTTAATGATATAATTAAAACTTGTATTTATAATGTCATTTTACGTTAAAGTATTTTAATAATGTTAATTGAATAAGTATAACATTTTTAAATTACGTTTAAAAAGAAATTAATAATACTTAATGAAATGACGTTTCAAATGATTCATTGCGAAAATGTGTGCGACATTTTTCGTGGTAATATCAGTATTATTCACATTGGAAAATTGTCATATAAATAAAACTATTACTAAGATTCTCCTAAAATCAGCCAGATACATCCTACTCATAATTATTTGAATTAATTATATTGGGAAACCCCCATGCATACACCGTATTAGCAAAGTTTATTATGACATATGTTATGTAGTTAATACACATAACAACTTGTAATATAATAAAGTATTTCCCCTGAAACCTAAAGAATATAATTCCCTTGCCATAATCACACAACGAAGAAGCATTTCTATTTAAAACTACTTATTATATGTTTTCAATTGTATATTAAACTGTCAAACACCAAGCGGTCACCGGTGACCGCGACCTATTGTTCTTTAATTGTGTCTATAAAACCGGTACTCGACGAGTTAAAGGCCAATGATGGCAATTCAATCAGGAATAATTTCGGTCTCGTACCTATATCGAGTACACCTATAAGAAGCCTTTTATGTACATACATTTTGGTTTGTGTTGACCAAAAAAAATAAAACATGTATGTCTGTGTCGTAAGAGCTAAATTGGGTTACACATTTGACAGAGACCGGGTGGCTAGTAGCACTATTCTCTGCTAAACCTGAACCTCTTCATCTACGATCTCCAATCCTTAAATCATATTACTTAGAGGAGGCTTGTAGTCATCACTAGAAAATCTTTCGTAGCTGAGCCTGTCGTGGCGTCGTACATGGGTTTATTATCATAGTATATTTACTAACACTTTTTTTTAAGTGTAGACGTCCTCATGGATACCCTTTGGCTAGACAGGAGGTTATATCGGACTCTTACTGATTATGATCCCGCACGGGTTAAGTCAGTAGGTAAGAGTCAGAGAGAGTGTGTATACACTATCTCTGAAAACAATGAGAGGGTCACTGGGTACTCAAATAAACGAACTGAACGGCAAAAAAGCAAAGACGTTGATGAGATCGTATACCTTAAAAAATGTCGCGGAGAACCTAACGGGTAACCGGGGCTCCGGCTCGACGTGCAGGAGAAGGAACGGGGTGGTTTTTAGTCAGTAAGAGTCTGACACTCCCTTCCGCCTCACCCAGGCGGGAGCAGTCATTCGATGATTTTCCCCCCTTTTTCCCCTTAAAAAAAATCCCGTTACTCAAAATGAGTATCAGCAGATAAGTCCAGTCAACTTGATATTACTGTACAACAGTTATAATCCAAACAAATCGAACAGCCATCTTTTTCAATAGGATTAAAATCACGTGGGATTTAATTCTTCTAAAAAAATTGAAGTATCATTTTATAGTACTTGTGAGTAAAATTTCGAAGAATGAATGAATATTAAATGAATGGTGATTGGTGATTGCTTTCATGTTGTTTAGTGTTACGATGAGAAGTAACGTTACTATGAAGAAGTACTAACAATTATTTACCTGGTGATGAATGAACTAATTTGAACTATTATATTTTGTTATTACGGGTTCTACAGGGACTTTACGTACATATGTTACTCCTGCTTTTGATGTTTTCAAAAGACGTTTTTGTGTTTAGATGGAAATGTTGTTAGAAACTAGTCGAGGTCCTCGTAAAATTATTACGCGAGTAAGCCGAAAACATAATAATTTATTTAGTATGTCTCACGAAAGTTACAATACAAATGTTGTTAGATACGTTTAGTTCGATTCACTTCGTAAGTTATCATTTTTTCTGAAGGAATTTCATCTAACTCACGTTATAGCTTTAACTTCTTGAGTGCCGGTATATGAGACACAATAGAAAACACTTTGTGCCTCGCGTAGACCTACGTTCCGGCATACCACAGGTTAAGGTAGATAAGAAATATTTAGATCACACAGTATTTCTACCAGAATTTTCAGTTTCTTTTTCACCTTACAATTTTGAATAGGTTATTTCATCATTATTTCGATATTACTCATCATTTCTTAAATCCAATCAACATTTAGATTTAGTCTCACGATGATATAGCATTTAAACATGTAAATCCCATTAAATAAGATCCAACTGTATAATAAACTAGATTCTCCTTCGCGGTTTAACTTGCTGCTCGGCTCCGTATTGATCGTAATCATAGCCCTTTAACTCTACTTAAAAAATCACGTCAATTAATCGTTCCATTTTGCCATGAAAGACAAATTAACAGACACACACATTTTCGCATTTCTAATGTTAGTATGGATATGGACGAATCAGTACTAAACTATGTATAAACGTTGAACATTTCAAATCATTAATTGCTAATGTTAATTACATTTTGGTGGAAATATTTCCGTTTGAATCTGGAGAGCAATTAGATGTAAGGGTGGGAACACACGGGAGGCGCTCTCGTTGTAACGAACCTGTTTAGTGTACACTTGCCTAATGAGGATGAATGTAATTGGTCTAAAACGGACCTGGTAGTGAATCACCAAATGACATTAATTGAGTGGGATTTATGAAAAATTGTGTTAAAATGTATTTGCATACATTAAAATTTCATTTCAATTCAAAGAGATTTTATGTCGCTTAACTGTTTGCCGATGATATTCCTAAATAAATGTTGTCTACTTAATAAATATTATATTTATTTAGAAAAAAAATGTATTTGAATACCTAAATGTTCTATTATATAATGTCAATATTTAAAACATCCATAACCTATGCGCAGCCACTTTAATTTTCATAAATAATCAACCCGCAAACACCACACTGGGCGCATCATTGACCACACTTGCTGTTTTTATAGTGCCACTGATCATTATAGGCCACAAATTAGCAAAAAAACCTTCATAAAATTGCTCTATTTTTAATATAAACACTTACAACTTACACTGTCTTATGTACTTTCAAAGAGGACCGATTAAGCTACATAAAGTAGACACGTACTTACATAAAACAACTTTGCATTCTTGTTCAATCAACATCATCGGATTTTAATATCAAAGAAAGGTTTAAGACGAAGATGATGATATAAATATCTCATATTTATTGCATTTAGAGATAATAGAAGGTTTTAGCAAACGTCATAAAATAAAATCATAGGAAAGTGAAAACTGTACATTAAATGTTTTTTTTATAATAATGCTTGGGCGTGACCTACAATCGATATCAAAGTCAAAAATAGTTTATAGAATTTTTGTCTGTTTTTCTGTATGTAGGTATGTCTGGGCTAAACTCAAAAAGTACTGCATGGGTTTACTTTTAATTTTGCATGAATATTACTAACAAATCGGTCAACATAAAAGCTACAAATTATCAAGCTATCACCTACGGCGGTGTAGCTGTGAATCACTATTACACGCGGACGAAGTCGCGGGCACAGCTAGTATGGAATTATATACATATGTTTATAGGACAGCGTTGGGATCAATAACCTCATTATCATTATATTGAATAATGGTTATGCACTACAAACTTTTTCCTCCAAAGATATTTAAGGGACTCATAAAATAAATAGTGAAAAGTGGGTGTTACATTGTACAGTGGCATAATGTGCACCTCAGCCTAAGCGAAAGATAAAAGGCGTGATGTTATGTTATATGTATGTTATAATATTATTGTTTATATGTATGCATATCTTTGTGTAAATAGAACAAAGATATACACGTTCAGTACACATCTGTTTCGGTGCTAGAGTCCTTAATATTTATATGACAAGAACATGTTTTCTAGTCCAAATAATAATATGAGAAAAGGTTAGAACTAAACCGGTTTAATATGGCACATAGTATTTCCCACGTATTTTCTGATATTTACTCTTATAGTGCTTACATTATTTTAATATTTACATTTGAAATCTGTATTTACCATTATTAGTTCACAACTGTAGTCTTTATTTACTTGCCTTTAATTACTCAAGTTGGTAGCTTATTTCTTTTTTTTTTGTTTATGGGCCCATGTTTGCACTTTTACAGTGCAGTAGTACATTAATTTTATGTATATATTAACTTAAAGTTAAATCAAATGCATGTTGTGTTTTCGAACTTTTTAAAGAAAATTATTGTATGTATGGTTTTAGATAAAACATTAATTTTTCTTTTAAAATTATTTGTATTCCACATTCCATTATATAGCGACCCGCCCGGCTTCGCACGGGTCCAATATGCAAGTAAACTTTCCTTAAGAATCACTCTATCTATTAAAAAAACCGCATCAAAATCCTTTGCGTAGTTTTAAAGATCTAAGCATACATAGGGACAGACGACGGCGGATAGTAACTTGGTACAGATATTTACTCACTTTTACTATAATTTGTGCGATGTTGAGTAATACTTGTATGTCATTCCTTTTACACCTTTGCCTGATGAATTAAATGATGAAATTAATAAAACAGGACGGACCTCTACTCCAGTTAATAAGAATCCTGATCCTACTGATGCCTTAAAAAGTAACTTGACAAGAATGGCAATAATTGTATAATTTACATAACAAAACTTCATTCTGTCGAACCCAAATATTTGCATACGCAAGTGCGTTAACCGTGACTTGGATAACCGTGGGCGAATACACATTCGTTTATTTATTAACAAAAAATGTTTCAAGTATATTCACCGTAATGATAACGTTATATGACATATTTAGTTCTATCACTCTCTTTTTAGGGTTCCGTGGCTCGAAAGTCGTCCATCATCAGGGATCATAGTAGAGTAGGTCACGTAAATGGAAAATGGGAGGAAGTTAATGACAATCTTTCGCAGTGTTAGGGTTTTTTTTTTAAGGGCGGAAAATCATTGAATGCTTCTCCCGCCTGGGTGAGGCGGGAGGGAGTTAAAACATTAGAAACGTATTTTTTATTTTCTTACGGAAACGAATAATTTCGAACGTATATTGATTTGAAATATCACATGACGCCACTTTTGAGTACGTTTTTTACTCTAAAATGACGTAGCTGCCTCCCACTTCCAAACTTTGATTCGTTTTATCTAAGTACTTTTTTCTTATAGGACAAAATAAAAAAATACTTGTCTAATATTTATTCATTACCTGCCGGACTAATTACATTTTTAATTTTCATACCCTGTCATCAATGTTATGAAATATTGTGTCATATCATAGCTTTCAAAATTGTATTTGCCATAAAGGACAATTTACAAATAGATCAAACGGAAAGTATGAAATACCTAGATTTTATTTTGAACACGAATAAACGATATGTAATTTTTCCTCACATTGTGATCGTTTAGATATTAGCTTATGTCGTTTATTTGTATGTAATCATAATATTTTACATAAAATAAACAATAATCTTTATTTAATAATAGAGGTACTTAATATAATTAACTAACAACTATTGCATTAACAGCAGTTATTTATTTATGACAAATTAATTTTTTATTTATTACTATTTTACTGTCAGATAAAAGAAATAAGTAGCATTCTGGTTTATTAAATACTTGCCTAATTGATTATATACTTATAAATAAGTTGCTACGTCTAAATAACCCGTCTAAATATTACTTTTGCATTAAGTTCATAGGTTGTCTGGTAAAAATTGCTATAGGTGATAAGACCCCATTGCCCATTTTTATTTTTTATTTATGATTGGTATTTTTTTCTGTATGTACTATATTATGAATGGTGTACAATAACGATTATTCTATTCTATTCTCCACGTAAATTTTATATACAAATTAATTCTGTCAGACACTTTTCAATGAAATTAGTGGGAAATGTTCTTAATAAATTAATAATAATTTATTGGTCAATTAACACTAAATCGATACATAACACAAATAATACACATGATACATAACACTCATGAGGAAGAACCCCTCTGCGGTTCGAAACCAGTAGAGCTTTCCTCAGTATATTCATGTCAAGCGAGTAACCCACGATTTTTAGTTAACATAACACAATCATAAACAACTTCTTATGTTCCCTGTCAACTTGTTGTAACCCAAGAACATGCTGACCTATTCGACGTGTTTCAGTGACGACGACTAGCGACCTTATTCCCGAAGTTTTTTATATGTATAGAAAGTATTTTAACAAATTTCACTTAGTAACAATCATGTCTTCCCTCTTTAATATTTTATTACCTTAACTTCGTTATCTACTTCATACTTTCTTTTTACAATTTTGCACCTACCGCTTTAACATTCTGCACCACCCAATGGTCGACTGTCAGAAAATGCCTACGGCATTAAGTCCGCCAATTTCACTATATGTGCAATAAAGTTTTAATAAATAAATAAATAAATAAATAAATTCAGTATGTGACATACCTACTTTTAGTTTGATAAGAATGAGAGTACACAATTGAAACAAACCTAGGCACGACACCGGGTCTAAGCAACAGAGTCACATTTCATATTTTACAGCTTCTGACATGATTAACGAAAGTGTGAGCTAGAATAATAAGATTAGAAGGATATACTTGATTTTAATAGTCCGTCAAACATTTCCGTAGGATTCTTTCAATAATTAAAAAACTCAAATTACAGTAACACAATCTCAATCTCACCAGTAACCCTTCCCAACTCTTCGACCGCATCTAACCAGCAGTTTGTGGCTCCATAATTCCTATATACCATCAGCTTCCGTAAATACTAAAACCACATTTACACTGTTAATGTTTTTATGATTTCTTGAACCGTTACCTCATGATTTTTTGAGATAGCACACAAAGTTAGCGGTGTGATTGCGTCCTGAGTTGACATTAGTATTTTAGTTGTTTATTTCTAATTTAGTATGTTGTTATTGTGTTTTGAAATTAAATCATTATGGTTTGTCCCATAATTGGTGATATAGGTTGGTTATAGGGAGTTCCCTATACCCAACAATATCTTTTAATCAATAATAATTTTACTTAATCACTACCTGGTGCCTAAAATTATATTAATCAACAAGATAATTTACCGAAATCCTTACTTGGCTTGTAATGAGTACTTAAAAAAACCCAGGATATCTAATTGAATCGAAAATAAATATGATATGCAAATAAAAAGTGATGTTCACAAATTCCTGCGCACTATTGACATTGGAGGTAATTACCATGTTATCTCCAATCCTGACAAGCAAATTGTCACTTAATCGTAATCACACCTACTTACTCGATATGAAATCGTTACGAATCGATTCGAAACGTCAAATCATCGATGTCGGCTAACCATCGTCATCATTACACAAGAGATGCAGGTCATTCTCGCCAAAGTTAATGATTAAAACCGCATTGTAAATTATTCAACATTAAAAACTGAATACAGTTTATACATAGTCATTATATTTAGTTATAAATAACTGTTTTTCCTTGTCCAATCCAATATTTTTATAGGCGAAGCGTTACAATTAGCCGCCGGCGAGGCGTATGATAACAGTCAGTGTTGTACTAGTACTGAGTTACTGACATATTTGTTTAACTGGTATTTATCATTTCGTTATAGTTGACGTTTGAGTGATGAGGATATGAAGGAATTTAGTTGGTTAATTAATCAGTATTATTATTGAGTGTGAACGTAAAAAATTAACAGTATCGTTTGTGCAACGCCTTAGGTTTAATAAAAGACTACTGACCTCTTTCACAATGTTTGTTTACTGATAGGTTAACTGAAGGATAATTTTACTGAATGTGCATACATACTATATATACTGCCTCGGCCGAGTGGTTGCAAGTGCGACTGCCGGGCAAGGGGTCTAAGGTTCGATTCTCGGGTCGGGCAAAGTATTACAGTGTTTTAAAAAAAATCACGGTCAGTAATAGCACGGAGTCTGGAATTGTGCCCGGTATATGGCAATAGGATCACCCCCTATTACATGGGACTTATAACATCAATAGTGAAAAGTGGGTGTTACATTGTACAGTGGCATAATGTGCACTGCCTACCCCTTCGGGGATAAAAGGCGTGATGTTATGTTTATATACGTATATAGTATTCAAATATGTATAATAATATTATGATCAAGGACTAAGTATTAAAATAGTGTCAATCGGATTTTCTCGGTTATTGAACGTTGACTCCTCAAGAAGCTACCTCACCAAAATACGTCATTAATAAATTACTTTATTAGATTTTCGATTATATTACAAAAGCGATAAAGTTGAAAATCTATCGAAGAAATACAGTAAAATAATCTGACTTTTATGCACCTTCTTAGATTGACTTTATTTATGATTTTCACTTTACTCAAAAAAGTATCAAATCAATATCTAAATTCGTCACACATACAGTACGATCTAAATAAACATGTAATAATACTATTTGTACCTTTTGTTATACTCTACATGATAAATAACCAAACTCTGAGTAGGACATTTGGCTGCGCAGTCAATTCTGAGAATGCTACGTCACAGTACAGTGCTTGTAACATGATGACGTATGAACTGTAGACGTATTTAATTTAAACCCATGTTTACGTCACGGTTGAACAACGTCACGGTTGCTAGTATTGATAGTAAAAAGATTAATTGTATACACAATTATAATTATGTTAATACAATCGTGATATGGAATATGTATGTCTTTAGTATTTGACGTACTTCTGAGTGTTACGATTACGATGTAGGTAGGTACGTATATTATGTGTGTGTGTGTATATATGTAGGTATGTTGATTTTGATGCTGAGCGAGTCCTGATACGAAATAATATATTACTTATGCACATAGCTAAATTGGATTTGATGCAATTCGAGCCAGGGCACAAGGATTTTTAAATACAGATGCTATGATGCTATGATCAAGACACATATGCATATTAAATGCGATTTCCACTTTCGACTAGTTTTGTTAACCAATTCTATGTAGAAGGGAGCGATTCTGTCGCCTCACACTGGATACGATTCCTTCATTCCCTCATTCTGTTCTACGAATCAAAGAAATCATATAACTTAATTAAATTACACGTTTTATTGACATGGAAACAATCAGCTATCTGCTCAGCAATCTATCAATGAGATTCAACCCATAGAATGCCAAGCGGTCACCGGTGACCGCTCTCCACTACCTATATTATAGACCTTATTTCGAATGCTTAAAGACTACTTTTGTATGAACAAATTTAGGGGATGAATTTCAACGGGTTAAAAACAAAATAAAAAAAAACATAAAATTTTCTTTGTTGACAGTAAGAACGGGCAGTCCAGACTACATGTGCTCAATGCTGCCTCAACACTGGCGGTCGAACAAAACCCTACCGGGAGGATTCAAAGTGGTAGCCCTAGGAGAAGTCCTCGACGGAACCCTAGTCACTGTCAGGGCTGGCAATGACGAGAACTGCTCCGCGGAACTTAGAAATAACTCTGCGGTGATGAAGAATAGGGTTGCCAAGTTTAATGACTTGAGGTTCGTCGGAAGAAGCGGGAGAGGTGAGTTTTATTTTTATGATAATTTATTATTTATTTGTTAAAATGGAGTGACTTGAAACTAACAGGATTCTAGTATTTTTTCGAGATTAAATTCCCTGCATTCCTCGAAACTGCTATAACGGACTTGATCACTTGAAACACCACTTCTGAAATCAAATCGAACGCAAATATAGTATCAAGTTGCTACACTTCAAAATATAGGCACAAATATTCACAAGTGACTTTCATTTTAACGAGGATTACACATACCTATTAAATGTTACACCCACTTTTCTCGCGTTCTGTTATATATAAGTCTCATGTAAAGGGGAAGACTTCTACTTACTACCAATTTTACAAATATTCGACCAATGAGGAAAACTTAACCCAGATGTTGTATAAGTCCTACAAATAAGATGAACGGAATACGAAAAAAAAAGTGGAAAACCTCATTAATTTCCAAGTCGTTCACAGAATCTGTACTCGAAAAAAATGTTCAAACTAATTCTACGAAGACAATCTTAAAGCCTCATGCGATACTTTTCCGAAAATATTATAATAGAGCTTCCAATGAAAAACCCATTAAGTTTTCAACTATGTGTAAGGAAATACCGATCTAATCAAAACTGAACTTCTTACATAAGTTTGCTTACATCATACAAATTAGTACGAATTTGATCTTCACGCCTCATTTTTTTCATAAAGCTATTATAGAATATTTTTTGTCAAATTCAATCAGTATATACCACCCACACTTTGATTAATGGTTCAATATTTAGACATCGTACGCAACTTGTAATAAAAAAATATAAGTACTACGCTATTTGCCGTTATTAGCCTACATGCGTGTAAAAAACGCATGTTACCGAATGCTACTAAAAGTTAAACCACTCTGGACAAAACAATGGTTATCTTATTGGAGAACCAGAAATTTGTTTTAAAGTTATTTATTTTTTTATTCTGCTTTACCGTTGGAGGATTTACCTCCAACAGTTTTATGTTGGCAGTCAAAGTTAAGTAACAATCTTTGTTAATATAAATCAATGTCTTGTAAAAGACAACTCAAATGTTCCAATTATTACAATTGGGTAGGTATTTGCCAAGTACTCAAATTCAATACTTTTTTCGAACTGTCACAACGACAGTTTTCTATGAATTTTGTATGAGATTGTATATTGTGACGTCACGTTTTTTTAGCACCAAACAGCATACTTAATTCTTAAAAATTTACCGGAAAAATACTAAAATTAAGTTGGTCAGAAAATCAATTAATGAAAGTATGATTATATTTTAATGTTTTATTGTATTGAAAAGTCGAAATAATTAATTTTTGGTTAAGGAAAGTAGCAAATCAGAGCCGTTTACTAAGAAGACAGTCAAAAATCTAAAAGTCTATCAAAATCAAGTAAATGCTTACTTGCTGAAGCAGCCAGTTAAAGAAAATCCAAAAAGAACAATAAAAAATGTCAAATAGAAGTCAAAATCCAAAGTTCACAAAGCGTAAATATTATTATGGACTTGTAATCCAAATAGTTATTAGTTTCAACGTAGTGACGCCGTCCCGTCTCACCAGAGGCCTGTATGACGTATGACTCGTACACACGACAACACTTGCAATAAAAACAGTATATACTGACCGTTAAACGTGCAGAAAGATCATATGAAGCGAGACCCTGATAAACTGGTTTTGTACAGCTTGATTTGTAGCCGATTGCACCAAAAACGTACTCACGAACTGGTCTCACACCAAACTAACTACATCAAGTATTTAGTGTGAATAACCACTTACTACGGTCAAGTTCAAAGTTCCAAATATTTGACCATAATGTAGAAAAACCGGTAAGAAAATCCATACGTCTGAATACACACTTCCTAACACATTTCTAAGAATATTATCTCGATAATGTTTGTTTTTATAGCGTACAAATATTGTGCAATTGATTTGGGTGTTTCCATGCGATTTATAAATAGAGTCCAGTTATGGTAATTTGAACTTTTTGCGGCCTATTTAGAGGTCAGAGACTCAGCTACTACACTCTCTGTGGTTATAGATTTGTTTTGTAAACATTAAACAGATGAAAATATTTTCTATCGACAGTTTTCTTTAACGTAACTACGTACAGGCGTGAACAAAGTACCTAATAGAGTTTCATTTCAATGAAAGATTAGAAAGAATTGAATGCTCTCAATTTATTTAAACAAAAATTTTAACCTGGTTCAAAATTCAAATACGTTCAGTTTAGTTTGAGAAGTTCAAAAGCCAAACATGAATTCATAGTTACATAGTACGAATGGACATAGCAGTAGTAAAAGTAGTAAGTGTTGACTGGTTGAAATACATAGCTAACCATATATTAGTAGTGTACTAGGGCCGCATAATAATTGGTTAATCTGGCGCTGAACGCGGCCGACCGCCGTGATTTGCGCACCGCCTGTCTAATAAACGGATTACTGATTTTATTGTCAACATTACTGTTTTAGAGACAGTAGCGAGACGTTGAAATAGTCTAGTCTGAGTAATAAATAGATAAATTGGATTATGGACATTAACCAATTAAAAGACTAATTTTTTATTCTCCTCGCATGATATCTTCTGATACATTTCGGTGCGGGATCCATGGATTTAAGGATTATGGTAGGCTTGTCCTATAAAAAAAGTCCCACAATGTTATGTAAATGCTATATTTGTAGATTTTTTCAATAGTAGAAAAATCATACCTACTAACCTCATCAATCTTACCAGTAATAAGTTTAAAAACATACAAATTATATAATAGTATAGGTATTATTAAGGTATTATAATAATAATATTAGGCTTCAGATAATTTAAACTCCATTTCTTAAATATAATTTAGAGATCTGACAAGAGACACCCATTAAAAAGTTCCTCAATCAATGGATTTCGAATTATGATTCGAATCAAAAATCTCGACGCAATCACATCCTATGATGATACTTTTACATTCATTTTTGAAGATGCCGCTTCAAAAATGAATGTAAAAGTATCATCTTGATAGAAATATTGACGTATGGTACATGTGAAGATGATGAATGACAGTATACTTGATTGAAACATACGTTGATAAGCTTTGATCATGTAACAGTCAGTCGTGATGACTTATGCTGTCACTTCAATGAAATAAGAAGTGCAGCGTTAAGGCTTAGTTTTGTGTGCTATGAGACTTAAAAATATTTAGTATAGGTACATTTAAATACAAATATTTAGGCGTTATAAACAATCAAAATCATCGACATTTACGTCTAATTACCTCAAGCTGTCAATCTTAATTCGAATTCAATTCAATTTGATTGCACAGTTGGCGCGGTGGCTGTGCAACTGGCTGCCACGCAACGTGGCGCGGGTTCGATTCCCGCACGGAACTACTCTTTGTGTGATCCACTGATTGTTGTTCCCAGTCTGAGTATCCTGTGTATGTAAACTTGTATGTTTGTGCCCGCACCTACGACACAGAAGAAAATTCGTGTGAAGCAAGGTTTAAAAAAAAATTAAAGAAAAAAACTCAAACTAAACGACTAATCCTTAAAAAATTCAAATAAGAAATTAAAAACACATACTACAAAACTAGTTTCAATGCAAAATAACATTGAGGTCACTAAACAACGCTACCTACTGTTTATCATCTCAAAATGCGCACGAGCACCGATCATCTATAGGTATCTATATTACTAATATGTTTGTGACGTATACAAATCCAAAGAAAAAGGAAAAAAACTGGTTGAACCTTCAAAACTCAGATAAACATAACATAACATAACATAACATCACGCCTTTTATCCCCGAAGGGGTAGGCAGAGGTGCACATAGAAGTAACACCCACTTTTCACTATTATGTTATGAGTCCCATGTAATAGGGGGTGAGCCTATTGCCATATACCGGGCACATTTCCAGACTCCGTGCTACTACTGAGATTTTTAAAAAACCCCAGTAATACTTTGCCCGACCCGGGAATCGAACCCGAGACCCCTTGCCCGGCAGTCGCACTTGCGACCACTCGGCCAATGAGGCAGTCAAAACGGCAAAACTCAGATAAAATATATAATTATTCTACAATATTACATAACAGTAGGTCCGAAGTAAGTTTGACATAAACTCCTCAAACGTATAAAGAAAATGTCAGTACCCTTCAAATGAACATGTTGATATGAATCATTAATATACATTATCTAATATTGACACTAATTGGATGGCGCAACGAGATATGTCATAATAAGGAAAATGATGTCCGCGCATCACTCGTAATAACTATTACTATCGTTCACTTGCGCATGCGCAAAAAATCATTACGCAATCAGTACGATATCATGTGACCTTTACTGACCCCGTCCTTGGTTTCTCGGGCAAATGTGATTTCCCGATGATTGATTAAACAACAAAAGAAGCTTTAAAAAACCCGACGTCATTAAAAAAAAGTTGGAAAATTGGAATGACGCATAGACTAGAATCGTTACAACGATGACGACACTGCGCGCGCGCAGACCGGTTTCTCAGTCTGTGCACGTTGCACGTTCTTTATAAGTTTATCAAATCATGTCAGTGTATGTTATTGGAATCTTTAATTGTTACGCGGTACGTAGGTTTTGTTGAATTAGATTTACGTATTACGATGATGTATCACGTATGTTTTGCTTCAAAGGGATAGACAGTAGTTCATGTGTAATACTGTTAATACCTGAATTCCCTGCAATAAGGGTTAGAAGCCTTGCCGTATAACTAGCCAAGTTTCGAAACCAAAAATCCAAATAATACTTTCTCCAACCACAGAAACAAACCATAAACCATCGAAGCAAAAAGTGAATGTACTATAGGACACATCTGCCTACCTTTTTTTCATACCAGTCATAAAGTTACATCTATTTAAAACCATATTGACTGGTCAAGAGGGTCACGGGCTTCACATCGTCGGGTAAATATTGTTAGAGGATTTTATAAATCGTTCGTTCTTCCAAAAATTTCTTAATAATAGTGCGAAGTCTAATATTGTGCTCGGTATATGATATT